GGACTAAGGTGCGCCTGACCCAAGCCATGGTGTTTTCAATAACCTCATATGCATGAGAAAGCTGGACAGTGAATAAAGAAGACCGTAGAAGAATTGATGCTTTTGAGTTATGGTGTTGGAGAAGAATATTGAAAGTGCCATGGGCTGCCAAAAGAACCAACAGATCTGTGTTGGAAGAAGTGCAGCCAGAGTGCTCCTTGGAGGCCAGGATGGCCAAACTTTGTCTCTTATACTTCGGACATATTGTTAGGAGGGACCAGTCACTGGAGAAGGATATCATGTTTGGGAGGTTTGAGGGTCACAGAAAAAAAGGAAGACCCCCAGCAAGATGGATTGTCAAAGGGGCAACATCAGTGGGCTCAAGCGTGGCAATGATAGTGAGGTTGGCCCAGGATCAGGCAGTGTTTTGTTCAGTTGCGCATAAGGTCACTATGAGTTGATACCGACTCGATGGCACCAAACAACAACAACAATATTTGCCGAACTATTGATTGATGGAGGAAGCATCAAAAGAAGATGGAAGAAATACCCAGAGTCACTGTACCAAAAAGAAAAAGTCTGTCCTCATCCATTTCAAGAAGTATGTTAGGATCAAGAACAGATGGTATTGAAGATAGAAGTCCAAGCTGCAGTGAAGGCATGGGGGAAAAACAAGGCTCCAGGAATTGGCAGAATACCAACTGAAATTTTTAACAAACTGAAGTCGCATTGGAGCCGCTCACGAGTCTGAAGAGATCTACAACGCACATATTTTTCATGTGTTATCACCAGGAGCCAGTTTCTAGAGGACATCATGCTTGGTAAAGTGTAGGGGCAACGAAAAAGCAGAAGACCTCCAACAAGATGGAATACCACAGTTTTAGCAACAATGGGCTCAAACGAGACAACTGTGAGGAGGGTGCAGGACCTGGCAAGGTCTGTTCTGCTGTGCAAGGAATCAGGAAGCGTTGGCACTGACTCCATGCACCTAACAACAACAACGCACCGCTCCCCGCCCCCCCCCCCATGTCTTTGCTGTTCCAAAACTCCGCCCAGTATGCCACCAACTTCAGGTCTCTGCAGTACTTGTCTTCAGCCTGGAGTGCTCTGGCCCTGGGATTACTTCACTCCAAGCCTGGCTCACTTGTCCATGGACTATCATCCTATTTACTAAAGCTGCCCAAATCCCTTATTCTCTTTAGCCACGCTACTTCCTACTTGTTAACTTAGTAAGTAACTTACTTTCCTGGACCAGAAGATAAGCTCCATTAGGACAAAGTTCTTCAACATGTACCCTGATTATCTCTCAAGTGCTTAGAACAGCTCCTGAAACACTGACTGACATACAAGAAGCATTCCATAAACATCTGTTGAATAACTACTACAATGATCATGGATTACTTTATTGTTGTTACTGTTAGATGCCATTGAGTTGGTACCAACTCATAAAGACCTTATGCACAACAGAATGAAACATGCATGCCCAGCCCTGTGCCAACCTTACAATGGTTGCTACACTTAAGTTCATTGCTGCTGCCACTGTGCCAATCCATCTCCTTGGGAGTCTTCCTCTCTTTTGCTGACCCTCCACTTTACCAAGCATGATGTCCTTCTCCAGGGACTGGTCCCTCCTGACACTATGTCCGAAGTATGAGAGACAACATCTGGCCATCCTGGCTTCTAAGGAGTCCTCCAGCTATACTTAGACCAACACAAATCTATCTGTTCTTTTTGTGGTCCGTGGTACTTTTAATAGTCTCCTCCAATACTATCACTCAAATGAATCAGTTCTTCTATGGCCTTCTTGATGCATTGTCCAATGTATTGCTTAGCAGGAGAAAAGGACAGAGAAACACTATGGGTACTCATTTACCAAAAAAAAAGAAAAAAAGTCTCTTTTTATAAGTAAGCAAACAAAGAAACAAAAACTCACTGCCATTGACTCTTGGTGACGCCCTGGTTTTGACAGCAGACGTGCACTCCATACGATTTTAAAGGCTGTGAACTTTTAGAAGCCTATGGGTGGATTCAAACTGCCAACCTTTTGGTTAGTAGCTAGCTAAGCGCTTGACTGTTTGACTAGCTAAGAAATTGTATTATACATTTGCATGTTAAATTTACTTGTTAAAGTTTAATAATGCATTCTAATTTATTACTAAAACACAAAAACATCCAATGGATAAATTGGAGCGTGAGTATTCATCTATCTATATATATATATATAATTTCACAAAGGATTTTTAATACCACACAAGTCTTGTAAAGATTCACTACTCCTTGTGTATTAATATATATATGAGGGGGCTTCAAAAAGTTCATGAGAACTTTTAAATTTCATTTTTCCATGAACTTTTTGAAGCCCCTTCCATATATAATTAGCTTATATAAAAGTAAAACCACAGCTATTTCATAAAGTAGGAAATTCTGGTGTATAATAATATATAATTACCAACAGACTTCTCAAAGGTAATTCATTTCATGTTGCTCCTTATACGTACCCCTGACTGTATAGATGAGAAACTCAGAGTAGCATGTAAGACTCGAAATGGAATGTAGAAGAAAATTTCCCCTTAATTTAGCATATTATGAATGCTCAATAAATATATGAATAACAGTAATAGGAAGATAACCTATAGGTTTATGTTGAATCTAAACACTGAATTGTAAGTAAAACCTAGCTGAGAAAAGCTAAAATTACTTTGATTTTCAGGTTTGAATAAAATCCTTACTGTGTTTATATTAAAGCCATACACATCAGAATTTGTTTTGTAAGCAAATCGATAATCCACAATGTACTAATTTATGTACATAAAAGAAGAGAGATTTGGAGCAGTTTCCAGGTTCCTGTAGCAAGCGAAAAGAAACCTCACATATATACATATGCATGTCGATATCTATTTGTGTGTGTTTTGTATCAGATAGGTAACTTCTCACTAGAAGTAATGGCTACAAAATGCTTAGCAAAGAGCAAATTAAAATGCAGTATATGTATGATTTTAAATGTTTTTGTTCCACCTCCATTATATTTAAAGGAATGTCAAAAAAATTAGAAGTTTGCTACTCAGATTTACTTTAGATATTTAATTTTAAGAAGATGTAACCAAATTCTAAATCTCTACTGAACAAGGTTTTAAAACTTGAATTAAAAATAAAAAAGTTGTATATTTACTTGAGATCACTGAACATATGACCATAAAGAATATTGAAGAACAAAAAGAATAATATGTAGGAAATTAGTTATTGAATTTAGGATTTTGAGTATGGAGCACCAAAGTATCCAAATAACAAAATGACCACCTTTATACAGTGAGTGTTGAAACACTAATTTATTCCCCCAGTTAACCAAAACATTAACACAGAATCTGTGTAGAAACAGAAAGCTTCCATTTTGCTATCTGATGAGAGTAGCCAATCAAATGAAAGGGGCGTTTCCTTGGGGGCGGGGCCTGGCAAGTTTCCTCTGATCCTGCATGCTGCTTGTCATCTGACCTCAATTCTGAGTCAGCAGAAGCCCTTGTCTGTCACCTGACCTGTACATATTGGATTCATCAGACCTACAACCACATGAGCTAGCAGAAGCCTTCAGGCCACCACCCGACCCGTGGATTACAAGCTCTCATATTCCCTTGAAGTAAATCTCTCTACATACTTCTATATAAGCTTCACTGGTTTTACTCTTTAGAGAACCCAGAATAAAATCAATAGGAGAAAAAAGAAATTGAATTCAAATAGTCCAGGCATTCAGTTTGTTAAAGGTTTTATAATAGTTATTTGAAACTAGGGGCCAAAATGAAATTAAAGCATTTGCTTTAGCTTTTATTTAATCTTTCTGTCTCTCTTCTAATATCTCCCTCAGTAATGGGAAATATACACACAAATGTCCTAATGTTCTAAGCTTCCATGGCAACCTATGATCTAAGTAGTAAAAAAATCAAGTCCACACACACACACAAAAAAATCAACAGGAAACTGGTCTTTAAGACTTGCCCTTTGTATAGTATTCATGATGTTGGATTTAGCTTTATTTTCTCAGAATAATAAAAAACATGATGGACAAAATCAATTATATTTGTATCTAGGTACTGAAGAAGATTATGATAGATCTATTTTTATATTCCTTGCTTTCCTTGAAGAAAAGCAGAAACTGAAAGTAGCAACATGGCAATTAGTCAAATAATGAACTTTTTGAAAGAAAAGATTTCAACTATATAGCTTCTTAATCATCTTACTTAAAAATATTACCATAAGATACAAATAAAAATAAGCATATAATTAAATTACTATACATCAAAAATGCTATGATTAATCATGAAGCACAGGCTGTGAATGTTTCCTCTTTGGAGATTATTATTGTCAGAAATGACTGCATGCACTGACTTATGGATCTAATACCACATGAGCTTGTACCTGCTGATTTGTTTCACTGTATTCTATTTCTGCATTTGAAATAAAGTCATGTAATAATCATATGAGCTCAAATGTAACAACAACTGTGAGGCTGATGCAGGGACTGGGCAGTGTTTCATTCTGTAACAGTAGGACCATTAACCACACATGAAAACAGTCACTATATTTAACACTTAACATTAAAAAAATGAAACTAAATAATTAAAATGCAACTCATCTCCACCCATCTTTTTTTATAGTCAACTTAGTTAATAAATACAGACGTGAATTTTGAACTAGCAGGCCCAGGGTACTCACAAGGACTAAAGATAGCAGTCTTTTTCTTACATCACACCTATATCTTAAATTCCTTAGGCTCCTATCTGTCAGGGAAAGGCTGCCAGGTGAGCAGTCTGTCACTCTTGCCTAGGCTAATAGATTCTCCAGTGACATTTGTTACAGCTCATGTCATACTATTAAAACAAAGTGCCTTGGAAATGGAATAACAATGTAGCTGAATCTTGTCAACTCTAGATAATCAGACTGTGTTTGGCTTTAGAAGCAGATGCAGATTAGAGAAGCAATATAAATATGCAAATAACCACGGGGTCCCCTTTCAGTACCAGTCTTCCTACCTCTAATGGCCCTCGCGGAAAGTCTGTCTGCTCAGCTCCTACTTCCAGAGCTACATCGACAGAAGCGAAGGGACGGCTGGCCATCTGCTGTCGTTCACGAAGCAGTTGCTGGAGGGGGAGGGGGGAAGGAGGGGGTTAAAAATGATTTGTTTGAAATGAGCCTTAAAACAAAACATTAAATACAACAATATCCAGTTTCATTTTTAAACAAATGGCACTCAAAACTTAGGAACTATTTCGTACACGTATCCATATCTAGATCATTAAAGATGAAAATCGTTTTCTCTCCATGGCTTTGGTTATATTTCCATAGAGGCTTTAAATGTGCAGTGTCTGCAAAGAACCTTTCCCCTGACCTCCCTCCATCTCACAGGTCTAATGAAATGTACTCAAAAGCACTCTGAAAACCTCAGGTAAGAAATGTTACTGAAGCAAAAAGTGCTATTAGGATGATGGCTTTGTTGTATTTCCCCCTCAAAATAATCCATGCTTTTAATAAAAAAAAAAACTGAAAGCAAATAACAATAAAAATGTTTAAGAAAATATAATGAAAATCTTTCAAATTATATTCTAAATATTAAAAGTACATATACCTGCCAAGACTATGTCTTACGTTGTTGTTGTTAATTACCATGGAGTCGGTTCCAAGTCATAACGACTCTGTGCAGGGTTTCCAAGGCTGTATATCTTTACGGGAGCAGAAAGCCTCATCTTTCTCCCGCTGGTAGTCTTATAAGACATCACAACTCCCTGCCAATTGCTAGGGAACCAATCATGGTGCTCTGTGTGCTGTGGAGTTGGTTCCCACTCACAGGGACCCTGCATAGGGTTTCCAAGGCTGTACGGGAGCAAATCGTCTCACCTTTCTCCTGTGGAGCAGCCGGTAGATTCGAACTGCTGACCTTGCATTTAGAAGCTCAACTGGTAACCACTATGCCACCAGGGCTCCTAATGGAACCAGTAGGATTTGTTATTTTGTTATAAAGTTTATAGCTTTATGCAGGAGTCCTGGTGTGGCACTGCGGGTTAATGCGCTGGACTGCAAAGTCGGTTTGAATTGCAAGGTCGGCAGTTGAAGCTCAACAGCCGCTCCTTGGAAACCCTATAGAGGGTCGCTGTAAGTCCGAACCGACTCGATGACACTTGACAACAGCAACATCACTTTATGCAAAGCCTTTCTGTTTATCATTTTTAAATGAGTGATTCGTAAGTTGTGGGTATTTTGTGCCAGGACTTGTTAAAAAAAAAAAACAACCCTGGATATTTGTTTCTTTCACTTTATGCCTGTTTTCTGGCCTTAAAGAGAAAGAAACAAATATCTGCCCAAGTTAAAACCAATATACTAGCAAGTCCTACCCAACCACCAAGATAATTTATATTTCTGTCTCTCCCTGTAATTATAATCTTCATTAAGTCATGATAAGAAGAAATTGATGACTAGCATTAGATATTACAAATCTTGCCCCTCTCATTCTATACAGCTAATAAAATTATTATTAAATATTAAAAGTGGATGAGCAAAGCAATTAAATACTCTTTCAAATGAGAAGAAAATCATATCATTGACGAAAGGCAGCATCCTTGAACACAATGAAAAGCTTCATTACTCACAGAGATTTTTAAAGATTCACTGGTATTAACTTAAGACATTAACTACCAATCTTTGAATATAAATGCATGTGGTACTGGGTACAGGATTCATAAAACTCCCTTGCAGATAATGAACACAAGTCAATACCTAATGGCAGTTTATTATTTCACATTCTGATTTAACACCTGTGATAAAGCAGTGAGAGTGTTCATGAAACTATGGTCTAAGGTATATCTTAACGCCTTGCTTTTTTATTATTAGAGACAGATCGTCCAAGTGACACTATGAAGATAGAAATGACACAGTTGCTTCTGAGAGGTAGCTTAAAACCTTAAATCACATTTTCTTTAGAAGTGATGAAGACATATTGAAAAATATACTCGACGTAAAATGTGTGACCGATACCACCAAACAATTCACTTTGATACAAACTAAAAATTGTATTATAAAAATACACCAGCTTCAGGACTGACTGTGAGGGTTGGAAATGGAAAGGTAGACGTGTCGTAGCAAAAGGAGGGGAGTGGTTGACTTTGCAGGCCAGGAGCGGAGGGCCCTGGGACCATCAAGGAAGAAGAGAGGTGTGCAGGACCCTACCCAGAGAAACAGTGATGCCAGAGATGGAGGCAGAGACAATGACGTGGAAAGATGGAGTGGCTGGGGACTCTAGACCCAGAGAGGGAGAGGGGTTGTGTGATGACCAGGGGGCATGCTTGCAGGGTATATATACCCTTTGGTTGGTTGATGATGCATGGTGGGGATTGTAACCTTGGCAGTGAAACTATATACGATAGGATGGATGTAAAGGTAATGTTCTCCCATGTAAACTATCACACAATTCACAATAAATATTTTTTTAAAAAAGAAACAGCTGGAAAACAGAATGTGGTTTGTTCTCTTCCCAACAGAAGCAATCTATTGACTTGAACATTGTGTCTATGCAAAAAGTAAACAAAATGTTACTTCAAGTGTCAAGAGATGCTAAGTTTAGAAGACACCAACCTCCTTGTCTCTGGTACGCACACACATACATGTGTACTCACAGACATAAACAAAACAAAACAAAAACTATCTCTGCCATAATCATCTAAAAATTGCTGTAAGAAAATCGCAAACCCTAAAAACAAGTATATGGTCACATATGTACGTATATAGGCATATAGGCATATGGGTAAGTACAGGTATATACATATAAATGCACAGATAAAAACAGATATAAGTACTTGCCTGAACAGATATGTTGTGAATGCTTACATATTCATAGAGGATATAGCTACATGTGTTTGTCAAACATAATCAAACACCTTGTGAGACTGGTTTTTGTGGGTTGAGAAGCTTAGGACTCATAGACCAACTCAGTCAGTTGGCATAATAGCGTCATAAAGTTCATGTTCTGTATCCTAAGAAGGTAAGTAAAGTCTAGGGTCTTAGAAGGTTGAAAGCAGCCTTCTAAAATGCAACTATTGGTTTCTATGCGTCGGGAGCCAAAGAGAAGAAAGAAATCTATGTCTCAGAGAAGAAAACTAGCTTCTAGACGTATGGCCTACTGGAGCCATGGTTTCATTTACCCATTCTGATCAGGACCACAACAGATGAATCCTATTAGAATGGTTTAGAAATACAGAAACTCATGAAGTTCTTGCTACAACTATGCCAACAGGAGCGAAACCTTGAAATTTTTACCTCATCTTGAAAATGCAACTTGTATGGAGTTGCATCATATATTACATATAGCATACAAAATATGTGTTAGTCAGCTGTTGCTGCTATCAGTAAGGCTTCCAATGAACAGTCGGCTGCTGTAATTAAGTTTTGGGGAAGTCAAAAGTTGTAAGTGGATTTATAGCTCCACAGGAGGTCAGCAGCCCTAACATATTTATTGATCATGGGTCAGTTGTAGTGTGAAAAACATGACACAGTAAAATAAAAACAATGGGGGCACAATATGGTATACAATAAAGAGTCTGAATAGGGGATTAGCCAAAAGAATTTATTCCAGACTGTTCAGCAGAGGACTAGTAAGAGAGGGCTTTTCTTGTAACACAGCTGAATTCCAGACTTTGGGGAAAGGATGCAAATATTCTTACTGCTAAACTTAGGATGGGCAAAGCACTTTCTCCTGAACTGTTTTTTGCTTTGGTATGATGACTTAAAGGTTTTAGAACTTTTTCTTGCCAAATAACATCTGGATCAATAATTAATTGTGATTGGAATGTAAATGTTAGAAACAAAGACGAAGTATTAGTAGTTGGAAATAATGGCCTTAGTGATAGAAACAGTGCTGGAGATTGAAAGATAGGATTTTTCAAAACCTATAACATACTCATTACAAATATTATTTTTAGACTATGATGATACACATGAACCTAACCAGATGTAATACATAGTAATCAAATTCACACTGGGGCACTGCAGGTTAATGTGCTGGATTGCAAGTTTGGTTGGAACCGCATGGTCAGATTCTCAGAAACCCTACACAGGGCCGCTATGAATCAGACGGGGTCGACGGCACTTAACAACAATAGGAAGAGACAATGGGGAAGTCATATCATTACCCATAGCAAGACCAGGGGTTTACAATGGAACAGATCATTAACTGCTCAGGCTAAAGCTGAAGAAAATCAAAACAAGTCAAAAGAGCAAAATAGCAACAGAAAATTTCAAAGGAAAGCTCGAGAAGACAACTATTATAATGTAATGTGCAAAGACCTGGAGTTAGAAAAGCAGAAGGGAAGAACATGTTCAGCATTTCTCAATCTGAAAGAACTGAAGAAAAAAAAAAAAAATCAAGCCTTGACTTGCAATATTGAAGGATTCTATGGGCATAACATTGGATGATGCAGAAAGCATCAGAGGAAGATAGGAGGAATTCACAGAGTCACCATACCAAAAATAAATGGATAATGTTCAACATTTCAAGAGACAGCATGTAGTCAATGGTACCAAAGAAAGAAGTCCAAGGATCACTGAAGTCACTGGCAAAGAACAAGGATTCAGGAACAGATGGGATATAAATTGAAATCTTTCAACAAATGGATACTCCACTGGAGGCACTCACTCATCTATGCCAGGAAATTTGGAAGACAGCCACCTGGTCAACTGACTGAAAGAGATCCATATCTGTGCCCATTCCAAATACAGATGACCCAATGGAATGCAAAAATCACCAGACAGTATCATTAATCTCACATGCAAGTATGATTTTACTAATGATATTTCAAATACAACTGCATTAGAACATTGACAGGGAGCTGCCAGAGTTTCAAGCTGGATTCAGAGTAAGACATGGAATAAAAGGAGGGAAACAGAGAATTTCAAAGGGCAGCTCATGAAGACAAAGTATTACAGTAAAATGTGCAAATACCTGGAGTTAGAAAAACAAAAGAGTGAACATACTGACCATTTCACAAGCTAAAACACACACACACACAAAACCAACAAAAAACAGAAAAAAGTTCAACTATTTCAGGAGGTAGCATCTGTTCAAGAATTGATGGCATTGGAGAAAAACAAGGCT